CACACACACACACACACACACACACACACACACACACACACACACACACACACACACACACACACACACACACACACACACATGCAGGAGGTGCACTGGGTGGGCATGCACAGGATGGCTGGCTGATGGCTCATGGCCATGATGAGCCACTGCTGCATCTGGTCCAGGCAGGGGCTGTGACACCCCCACCAGCAGACCAGGGGTGGCTTGGCCATTTGGCTCTCCTTGAAAGTCCTCAGCAACCCAGGGAGCCCACAGGACACACTGGGAGGTGTGTGAGAGGCCCCCTATCTGCTGCACTTGGGCCATGCAGGCAGGCCCCAACTCCCCTGCCCCCTAAGGACTAATGTGTTCTTCTTTCTCCCAACCTAAATGGGGGCACTTAGAGTAAAGTTCAAAAGTTAGAGCACTTCCATCATGGGCTTCTTGAATGCCTGTACTTAGCCTAAATGTTTAGTTTAGTTTAATCTAGTTTCAGCCAACACAATCACTCAAATGAGGTCTAAGTAATCTAAAAGAATAAAACAACCCCTCAACCATAAATTTTATGCATGCTGAATTCAGTAATAGCTCACTTTATGAATCTTAACAATAAGGAAAAGGCCAAGAATGGAGGAAATTGACTTAGTACTTTTGAGACCAGGGTTAAAAAAGTTCAGGGTTATTCTATAGGATTTTCTGTTACACTTCTTTGCTCTGCTCACACTAACTCTTAAGGCAGACAAGGTTCTTTGGGTAAATCTGATATCTTTTATTAGACCAACCCAAATAGTTGGAAAAATTATTCTTAGCAACTCTTAACACACTCAGCATGCCCATAGTTAGCAGCCTGCTATTAGATGGAAGCTGACTATGCCTTTACATACTTTAAATACTGTGAAGAAAAATAGCTTCGTTTAAGCTTCTAAAGCTTCAAGAAGTCTAGCAAACTTCATTATGAGGAAGATGACTAGGGTCTAGGCTATATGACCTAATGACATATAGGAAACATCGAAGGTGCAAGAATTCCTGTTTCTTATTCCTCTTCAAATAGCTGGTTGATTAATCCTGCCAAAGTGATCATTTATGATTTTGAAGGGCCATGATTATATCTTTATTTGAGACAGTTTGTGCTCTAAGGAATGCTGGCATGAAGCAATATTCTGAGGATTTGAAGCAAGGGGATGCTTGGCCACCTTGGTCAGCTTAAGAGTTACTGAACCTTTCAGTATCTGGGCTACCTGGTTCAGCCTCTTCTGCTATAACACATGGGCCACTATCAGGAACCATTGAAAAACTAGCACCAGTAGAGCTGTCAGAGGAACCTCTATTGAAATAGGTTAACTTTGTACTGAAATTAACCTTGATGGGAGACAAGGAAAGATGAGGGCAACCACATTCAAAAGCTGTCCATCTGAGATTTGATATGCTTATTGTCACATTATTTCTTATTGCCTTTGACAACTCTAATTCACCTAAGACTTAAATATAAGGCATTTCTATTTCTTGCTTATTTGCTGATACTAATATCTTGGGAATATTAACACCTACATGCCTGCAACTTGTTACTAAATATATGCTTACATACTTAAAAACTTGGATGTTATTCAGCTGTGTTGGATTCATTATTCAGAGGGTCAGATTCCAGGGTTTTGTAGCATTATTTGTTAAGCAACTGTAACTTATGGGTGCCTATACATGTGCAGTGAGGTTGTTTTGACATGGTTCAATTAATCAAGTCTGCTGGAGCATAGTAGTTATCGTGCTCCAGCAGACTTCAGCATCATGTGTATCAGCATCCCTGCACTGAAAATGGTGGTATGGGCACTTTAACTAAATCTCGTTTGACAAGCTTTAGCTAAAGTGCCCCTGCTGCCATTTTTCACAGCAGGGATGCTAATACATGTGACATTCCAAGCACTTTAATTAGAGTAGCTCTTAGTCTTTGCAGTAGGAAAAAGATAAATATTGATATAGTAATGTTTAAATACAAGCAAACAGACAAAGGATTTTCATTGAAGACAATGCTGTTAACACCCATAGTAGAGGGGCATAGTTGGTATATCTGAGATATAGCAACTGTATAATTAAGAGTTGTTGGACAGACCTGTGGACAGGTACTTGATGCCTGAAAACTTGTCTAACACCTCTCCCAACTATACAGTTGGTTCAATAAAAGACATAAAAAATACTTGTCTCTTGAACACTTCTTAGACCATCATGGCTACAACAATACCCCAACCCTACTAAGCATATTAGAAAACTTACTTTGTTACCTTGCCATTTTAAATTTCACTGTAATATAAGCTAGCTCTATAGATTTTTTGTAAAGACTTGGGATTAAGTTTCCGAAGTTGGCTGTCTAAATCTAGGAACCTAATTCCAGATCTGGGTGCTTATTTAAAAATTGCTTGATTGTTTATAGATCCTGGAACTTCCAACAGCTATGGAAGTGGGACTATAGGTATGTACTACTCCTCAAAAATCATACCTTTTTATTTATGGAGATTTAGGGATCTGACTTCAGACACCCATTCTTATGAAAATTACATTTTCAAGTGATATTTCATCCTCCTCCTTTTTACTGAATTAAGCATCTCTATAAATGTTTACTTTCTGATAGGGTCTGCCATGTGGCTAAAGGTGATTTCCTTTGAAATGTATCAAGACAATTCACAAGTCAGATAAACTGCTACAGAAAGAGACACCAAATTTGGGATACAAACCCAGGGTCACACAGTACTAATCAGAGTCACCCAAACAGCTCATGAGGCCACGGAAATCTTTGGAACAAAATACTGAGTAGCAACTTACCATGTTCATCCAGCAGTATGTTGTCAGGTTTGATATCCCTGTAAAATAAGAAATGGAAATGCATTATATATGTATGAAATGGATGCTTGCAAATTCTGAAGTGTCTTTTGCCTGCATAATAGAGCTAGATTGGTGAAATTATACATTCAAAGGAAAGCAGTATGCAAAAGTAAATAATCTTTTTACTAGCTTGTTAGGGCACATCCAGACAAGCACAGACGTTCAGTATGCAATGCTACAGACCCATCTGCATGTGTGCCACACATGCTGCACATGCAGGCACTCCCTGTGCTGCTAGTTTGCAGTGCAGGGGTGGTGGTGGTGGGGGGGGGTCGGCAATTGGGAGATCCCAGTGTCAAAAAACCCGTGCCTTAAAACAGCGGGGTGGTGCATGTCACTGGAAATCAGAGCCTGGTTGGCTGGAGCCATGCTCCGGCTGCTGGCCGGCTCTATGCTGTTGGATTGCCATAGCTGCAGCCCCTGGAGGTCCTTAGGATCCCAGGGAAGGCTGCTGGGGCCAGCCCAGATGCTGGATCCCACCTGGGGTAACATGTCACAAGCCAGAGCACACGTGCATGGGTGTTTTCCAGGCACAAGCAGCAATGGCACATATTTTGCTGCTGCTGTTTGTCCCCAGGGAACCACACATTTCTGCTCATGGGGATGCACCCATAAACATGCATGCTGAAGTACATTTGAGGTGTTTTTGTTTTCACATGGTTACCACCCCAAAAAAACTATTTTACAACATTAAGTTCAGGCTGGGAATGAAGAGTAGAGAGAGAAGGATTGCATTTCTTTGCTGTGGGTAGTCCATATTTGCTAGATGTGATCAAGGCAGATATAAGTTAGAAGTATTACCATAACATATAGGTGACCCCTCTTCCATTTCTTATAGACATCACATACCCCTCCCCTCATGGTCATTTATGTTTCAAAAGTTCACAGAGTTTTGTGAATCACCCTATGCTACCTTGAATGCTAACTCCCCTCAAAATATTAACTTGCCACTACAATCACAAACCTTTCCACATGGTTGGCTATGCCAGGGGAGCAGACAGATGAAGTGTGTGAGGAAGCCTGGAATAAGAGGACCAGGATCATACTTGTAGACTTGAATGGTAAGAGGTATCAGCATATAAACAGTTCCCTCAAACTGCAGCTCTTCCTGGCACATGGAAACGACTTCACTAAGGATAATCTTCATATCCTATTGCCTAGGCAGAGATACTGGCCCTTCCCTCTAAATGATCAGCTGCCTTGAACTGAATTAAGATTGGTTTCAAAGAACAGAATCATAGAACAGGAGGGCCAGAAGAGATCTCTTGCGGTCATCTTGTCCAAGCCACTGGCTCAAGACAGGATCATCCCTGACTCAACCATCACAGTCTGTCTAATCTGCTCTTAAAAACTTCTAAGCATAGAAATTCCACAACTTTTATAAGTAGCCTTTTCCGATGCTTAACCACCCTCATAGCGAGAAAGTTCTTCCTAATATCTATCCTCAAATTAAGAACATTGCTTCTTGCCCTGCCCTCCTGTGGCCATAAAAAATAGTCTATCTCCATCTTCCATTCAATTAACCTTCAGGCATTTGAAGACTGATATCAAACCCCTCCTCAGTTTCATAGTTTCATAGTTTCTAGGGTCAGAAGGGACCTTAGCAGATCATCTAGTCCGACCCCCTGCCATGGCAGGAAAGAGTACTGGGGTCAAACGACCCCAGCAAGGTGTTCATCT